CGGGTTCTCCGGTCTTTCCCTCCACGTTTAGAATCAACGTCTCTACGCGTTTAGGCTATTTGGCTGCCATACATTCCCACGTGATAAGCCACTTCGTTGAGCTATCATTTGTGGCCAGGTCGCTTCTGAAAAAAAAGAGCTACGTAGCTCAGTGGGCCTTCGCTTAAGTCTAGTTCTGGTTTCTAAAGACGCACGAGTGACACACGAGTGCGGCTGGACGCATGGTTAGAGCCAGGGAGTCCGAGCCGTGGCCAAATATACAGGCCGAACACCAAAGTAACAACAAGATCAATTCCACCATAAATGACGCGGCATTAATTTTGAACGTAAATAAAGACAGCAAACGTTGAGGTCAGAATTTCGCTCTCCCCCCCTCCCCCACCTCTCTCTCTCTCTCTCTGTTTCCCTTCGTGTTGCACAACATAGAGGACACGGCAGCGAACCGACTTGGGGCTTGGGGTGGGATCGTGTTCGCAGAGCGAGGCGCGGCAGGGGTTAGAGAGCTCACGAACGTGGCGCCGGGGGGGACAGGAAATTAAACGCTCTCTGTTTGGCCTGCCGAACGAGAGGTTGTAAAGAGCAATCACTCGACCTGTGCGTGGACCCTGCTCAGCACCGCTTTGTCATTTGTACCCTATAATAGAGATTTTTTTTCTTTCGGTTAGATCGCGTAAATATAAATGCGTCGTTAAACCCGCCACCACCCAACACAGCCAATTAGTAAGGTTTGTCACGTGAACAAAACGTGCCAATTAGTTACTAGTTCAGCACACAGTCGTGTTGGAGAGTAAACCCACAACATTCGAGTACGACGTTTCACCGTTAATGACAACCAGCCTCATCAGGCGACAGCCAAAATTGTAGAGAAATCCTTCTGTTTCAGCATTCATACTTACGCGATCTAACCGAATAAACCTCTATTCTGGATAATATTGGTCACGAAATCCTACGTGTTTATTTGTACCCTCTTTTGTGATCATATTTAAATGCACATTACGTTTTGAACTAATGTTAACACGCATTTTATTTCTTCCCGAGCCATTAAATCACCCTGAGAGCACTCAGACCGTCTGGGAATCTCAGGCGTTAGAGCCTTTGGCTCCGGCAGTAAAGGATAACTGGATATATCTGTGTGACGCTTTAAGCGTTACTCCCTTGACTCAGCTGGTGGCTATGCACGTGGCCCTTAAACCCAGCACTGTGGAGGTGAGGGGTGGTGGATCGCACAAATGATGTGCAGCTCCCTCCCTCTGGGCTTCGAGGTGCCATACCCCGGCTTGCCAGGATAATGGCAGTCCACCAACATGTCGACTAATCTCCACGTCCCATCTGTATGGGATTCAGTGTTGCTCCCTCGCACGCGTCGGTTTTCTCCAGGTGACCCGCCTCTTCTTCTCCTATGACAGACCGCCTCTCTCCAGGAAATAAACGACGATGACTCGGCTGGAACAAGATTAGTACGGTTGGCCACGTACAGTGCGAAAGTTCAACAACATAGATACATACATGCGATGGTGGTGATGGTGGTGGCGATAGTGGCGATGGTGGTGGCGATGGTGGTGGCGATGGTGACGACGGTGGTGGCGATGGTGGTGGCGATGGTGGTGATGGTGAGGGTGGTGACGACGGTGGTGATGATGAGGTTGGCGATGGTGGTGGCAGTGGTGATGGTGGTGGTGTTGATGGTGACGACGGTGTTGGCGATGGTGGTGATGGTGGGGGTGGTGGTGGCGACAGTAGTGGTGACAGTGGTGATGATGAGGTTGGTGATGGTGGTGATGGTGGCGGTGGTGACAATGGTGGTGGTGACAGTGGTTATGATGAGGCTGGTGATGGTGGTGGTGATGGTGGTGATGATGGTGACGACGGTGGTGGCGATGGTGGTGATGGCGGGGGTGGTGACGACGGTAGTGGTGACAGTGGTGATGATGAGGCTGGTGATGGTGGCGATGGTGGTGACGGTGGTGGCGATGGTGGTGATGGCGGGGGTGGTGACGACGGTAGTGGTGACAGTGGTGTTGATGAGGTTGGTGATGGTGGCGATGGTGGTGGCGATGGTGGTGATTGTAGGGTTGATGGTGACGACGGTGGTGGCGATGGTGGGGGTGGTGACGACGGTGGTGGCGATGGTGGTGATGGCGGGGGTGGTGACGACGGTAGTGGTGACAGTGGTGATGATGAGGTTGGTGATGGAGGCAATGGTGGTGGCGGTGGTGGTGATGGTGGGGGTGGTGACGACTGTGGTTGAAGTGACTCTAAGGAAGCAGACCCCACTCCGCTCGGTACACACATTAGTCACAACGGGTACACGAGCGCACACAAGCGGGCAGTAAATTAAAAAAGAATAACAACAGTAATTAAAAGCAAACAAAACCAAAAGACAGAAATAAATATACTGCCAAAATCAACATTCTAAAAAGCCCCGAGTAAACAACGATGCATGCGCCTGACGGTTAGCGACGGGGCTAGCGGCAGTGCGGGTGCACACGGCCAAGGCGCGAGAGTGAGCGGCTCGCCCTGCCACGGCGACACCTGGGAGAACACCTGGGAGAACACCTGGGAGACACCTGGGAGAACACCTGGGAGACACCTGGGAGGACACCTGGGAGAACACCTGGGGGAACACCTGGGAGACACCTGGGAGACACCTGGGAGAACAGCTGGGAGACACCTGGGAGACACCTGGGAGAATACCTGGGAGACACCTGGGAGACACCTGGGAGAACACCTGGGGGAACACCTGGGAGAACACCTGGGGGAACACCTGGGAGACACCTGGGAGACACCTGGGAGAACACCTGGGGGAACACCTGGGAGAACACCTGGGAGACACCTGGGGGACACTTGGGAGACACCTGGGAAGACACGTGGGGGAACACCTGGGAGACACCTGGGAGAACAACTGGGAGAACACCTGGGAGACACCTGGAAGACACCTGGGAGAACAACTGGGAGACACCTGGGGGAACAACTGGAAGACACCTGGGAGAACATTGGGAGACACCTGGGAGAACTGGAAGACACTTGGGAGAACACCTGGGGGAACACCTGGGAGACACCTGGGAGACACCTGGGAGAACACCTGGGAGAACACCTGGGAGACACCTGGGGGACACTTGGGAGACACCTGGGAAGACACGTGGGGGAACACCTGGGAGACACCTGGGAGAACAACTGGGAGAACACCTGGGAGATACCTGGGAGACACCTGGGAGACACCTGGGAGAACACCTGGGAGACACCTGGGAGACACTTGGGAGAACACCTGGGAGACACCTAGGAGACACCTGGGAGAACACCTGGGAGACACCTGGGAGACACCTGGGAGACACCTGGGAGAACACCTGGGAGACACCTGGGAGAACGACGAAGATGGGTGCCTCCGTCTAAAAATATATATAAAACGTCGCGAGTTGTTTAAATAAAAAAAAACTGAAATGTTACCTCCTTGATTTGAAGCTTTCGTGACTGCAGGATTCTATACTCTTTGGTTCTTTCGGTAAAGTTACGCAGGTACCATAGAGTATGAAATGTTAACTGATGTCGTTTGGTTTGTAAATGCTCTAGTCATGGAGAGTATTAAATCTATCCACTGCTGGATGAAAGCCTCCCTGTGCCATGGGGTTCTGCGCAAGGGTGGTCTGGACTTGCGGGGGGTCACGGGATGGGTTTATATTTAACTCGTAATAATTGGTGTTACCCATGGCCAGGAATAAAACTGCGCTACCGCTCAACCAATTCACGACAAAATGTCTATTATAATAATATTGCACAGCATAGCCTGGGTCCCAAGACGTTTTCAAGAGGGTCCTCTACTGCATTGAGGTGTCTGGCCAATACCATTAGCAAGTGCTTGATTTCTCGTGGAAGGAAACCGGAGAACCCAGAGAAAACCCACCGAGCTTACGAGAGGGCGTATCGCTCAAAACTCCACACATAGATTCAAGAATCCATCACTGTGTCCCCATCTACCTTGCCGTCCAATAATCATCCCATTTAATTACCAACCTACGCTCTCCGGCCTGCTGAGATTGCGAGATATGAGATCGGGCGCGTTCAAGGTAATTTGATCGTGGATATTAAATCTAATTGATTGAACAAGCATGAACACGGGTGATACTGAGGGCAAAGTCCATTCAAATAATCGGTGAATTCCGATTAAACTTGAACTTGGGGTGGCGTTCATCTCTGCCGGCAGCACTGAGCCAAAGGTGGAAATTCCACATTCTTATGGATGGGACATCCCTGTTGATTTGACAACCACTGGCAACCTCTCACCGCGAGGTACATAATTTATTGACGCGGCAGGGATGATGAAGTCGACGTCATTTTGAATTGTGCTCACAGTATCACCTGGCCAGCGCTGTCTTAACAGTAACAATGTCTTACGTGACGAACACACACACCGCCTGACACGTTGTTAACACAATAAGGGTGGAGCAGCAGTAGTGGACAGCGCAACGCACTCCGCATTCGGCCACCCGAGACCACAACGCCGACGCCACGACGAACGTCAGCGACGAGTGAAATCTGACCCAGTCGTTTTCATGAATCGGCACTGACCCGTGTGGTGAAGTATGGTCAAACACCCCCCCCCCCCCCCACAAAAAAAGAACTCCCACCCAACGACAGCCTTCATTCATGCTAGACTTGACAAAAGCTCTGTAAATTATCATAATTATTATTATCATTACAATATCCCTTGTTCATCGTACATTTTTTACAGGATGCGCAAACACACAAGTACCTTCCCGTACAGCTGCACGTCGCTATATTCCAATCAAGGTCTCCCTTTCAGCAGTGGCTCTTCCTATGGATTCACCCATTCCGCCACAGAAACGTGGAATGTCCATCGCTGACTCGAGGCTGTCAGGCAGGAGACGATGACCTCTCCACGGCACTTTGCCGTCGCCTCACTTAGAGGACGGCCGACACGTCAACTCGGCGATCTCTCGCCCCCATTGTCAACGAACTCTCGAGCAGACAGCGCGAGCACCTGCCTGGGGGTCGGCGGACGGGCGCGTGCGAGGAGCTCCGTACCTGAAGACCGTCCGTCTCTCTCTCCGCTCCTGGCTGGATGTGCGGTAGAAATGCCGCGCGCGTGTGCGCGCGTTTATGCGCACACGTCTGCGTGCGTGTCTGCGTGCGCGTGTCTGTGCGTGCGCGGCAACACGGTTCATCCGGGACAGGCGAAACGTAACCCCTTCCTCGCTACTAAAAAATTTAATTACCGCACTGGTGCGTACCGGGCGGGCGGCGCGGGTAGGATTCTCGGTGACGGCCGTTTCGCTCGTTGTTTTCGGGTCGAGGAGCGTGTGACACGGGGATGCTGGAGGGAGGGCGCACACGCACGCGCGGACACGTGCGGGCGCGCGTGTTGCACCGCTCGCGATGAGCTATGATGGCCCTTGAAGGATGCCGAGAGGCGATAGTAAAATATTATGACATTATAAAAACGACACGTTGAGCCGGGTTCTCAAGCGTAGCGAGTCGTGGCCTCGGCCGGGCTACCAATAAATGCACAAAAAAAACCCATCTCATAAAATCTGGCTAAATCCAGCTAGGAGAATTAAAACATCAGCTTGAATGTCACACGATGAACATTACTCTCATGTGGCTGCATCTCGCAGGCAGCCCGCTTGTCTTATCTTGACTGTGACGCAGTGCGGCCAGCAGCGCCCACAACCCCCTGTGCCGCTGGGTCCAGTGGACACACACGGCGCAAAACAGCTGCTCTGTTCGGGCTGCGCATTCGTTTGCTGCCCATCACATGGGATGGACGTACGCACGCAAGGATGAACGCACAGACAGCTCCACGCCACCCGCAGGTGACAGCCCACCACCGAGCTGGCACGTCTCAATAAAAGTTAATGGTTACCATTTTATTCAGTTTTAGCCGTTAGGGTTAAATGTCGCCGAATGTACGTGCTCGCCAACCCCTACCCGATGGTTACAAGGCTGACGGGTGGGAGAGGCGTGGATGGGCTGCTAGCCTCCCCAGGCCGAGCTGGTTAAGGGAACCGTTTTTTGTTGTTTTTTACCACGCCGATGAGCGTGGTTTGGCGACGTCAGCCGTGGCCGGAAAAAACCGAACTTGGGTCACAGTGCGGCATTGAACCGCTCGCGCTCAGCCGCTCCACCCATTCACGCGCACGCCGCGATCGGCGCCCGCTTACGTTGTCTGGGGCGCTGCCCAGCGACTCCTGCGTCACCACGGGTCTCAGCTCGCTGCGTCTCCTCTGCAGCACCTCCACAGGGTTGACGCGCTCTGCGCGGGCGCCTCGCGACGCGGCAGGCGCCGTCCCCTCGCCCCCGTCCGGCCGGTCGCTCGCCAACACCGCCACCTTCTCGTCGGGGTCGAGGAGGTCCAGGTACGCCCGCAGGACCGCCGACCCGTCGACCCTGCTTCCCGATTGGTTGGTAACGGTGCCGGCGTCGGGGTCGAAGGTCGACGAATCTGCTGCTGCCGCCGCAGCGGCGGCAGCAGCAGACTTGGCAGACGGGTGGTCGTGATCGGTGGTCGCCAGACCTTCCATCGAATATTCACGCGCCAGGATTCTGCTCTCTGGGCTCTGAGAAGACAAACGTTATAATAATGATTATTATTTTATTATGTTGCGAGGGCAAAATCGCCCAATGATGCTGAATGTAATTACCAGCAACTTGTAAATGTTGTGGATTTACTCTCCAACACACCGGTGGGCTGAAGCGGTAACTAATTGGCGCGTTTTGTTTACGCGACAAACCTTGCTGGTTGGCCGTGTCGGGTGGTGACGGGTGAACGACACGTTTGTACTTCAGCGATCTAACCCATCAAGCCTTTATTACGAATAATATCGGTTGCAAAAGCCTAAGTGTCAAACTGAGCTGGGGCAGCCTTGGTGAATGTCAAGTCTATTCGAGAATGGTCCTGGTTCATGTGGAATTATATCATGAACACTTTGTGAGAAGTCAACTATTGTTGACACGTGGAGTACTGACTGCTGCAACAGAAATGTGGAATTCAACCACCGGAAACCACGTCGACTTGAGTTGGACGAAAACAAGGTTTATTGGAAGAGAAAATCACGCAGACATGCACTCGATCTCCTGAGTGAATGCACTATCAAATGAACAATAACTATTTGATCAGCACACAAAAGGTGGAACCTCAAACCAGGTCTAACAGCAGGGCAGTGCAATTCAATCTCAATCTCAAATAATGCCGACGCAAGTCGCTGTGAAGAAGCCACGAAGCCATCTCTGAATGTTCTGCAAGCTGCTTGCTCCACCAAAGCGACGTCGGTCACGATAAAAAAACTAATCACCCAGTGACGCACTGCACAACCAGGATGTCAAGCGGTGACGTAAACTTGCACGAACGGCACGAAGGATCGCGCGCGTGCGAGCGCACGCCCCACGCAACGTCAAACACAAACAAACAGGCGCTACAATTACAGCGCCGTTCACATTTCCCTGCGCACACCGCCAGAGTCGGCAAACAGCCGCGCGGGCGAGGCGGTGTAACGCAAACAGGGTGAGCGGGCACACGGCAGCCACCGCCACCACAAAGGTGATGGTGGTTGCGGCGGTAGTTGCGGCGGTGGCGGTGTTGGTGGTGGTGGCAGTGGTGGCGGTGACAGCGGTGGCGGTGCCGAGAGTCTGGTGTGGCCGCAGGCCTCGCGGCTGTGTGAGCTGAACAGCCCGAGCCAGATCCCACGGGGACGGCAAAGCGGACGCGGTGTCCGTGTCTACGGTGACGTGCGGGAGGGACCTCGCTCACAACAGACGGGAGCCGACGGAACGCTTCGTGCGGTGCTGGGTTCGACGCCCGAAACAACGTTTACAGAGAGACGTGGGCGAGTTGACTTGTGTGCCTATTTCAGGCTCCGTCAACCTAAGGGAAAGTTCCTTACCGAGTACGTATTTCAGGCCGAGTCAGCCTAGAGGAAGCCCCTTACCAGGATGTACTCATGTGAGGCCGAGGCAACCTAGGGGATGCCCCCGACTCGGTACTCATTTCATCGAAAGTTAGATCTCCACTTTGTCTCAAGCGTTGTCGAGGCGCGCGTGCACGAGATCGCGAGAAGCGGTCACGGCGCGAGGCGCTTCGCAAACCCGCAGTCTCCTGTGTGGCATTGTCAGCAACTTCGGGATAAACGAAAAGAATCCGGATGCAGAGAAACTTTAAGAGCAGACCTTGAAGGGTTGCGTGTAGGCCTTGCAACAGCTGTGGGATCTAGCACAAGGGAAGGAGGCGACTGGCGAGGTGTGAAGGCACCAACAGCGTTGGCCACTGACCTTGGGTTAACTGGCAGCACTCACCCACTCTCACATTCACTCTTAAGAGCCGCCGTGTGAGAGTCAACTTGGCGGAGGTGGCGCGGAGGGCACAGCGCTGAACAGGCATCACTGAGATCCATCGGTTCACATCCAGGTTTCAGTCGCTGTGATTCAACAGGGTTCTGGAAGTGTGGTGAGTTGATGGACTCTGTCGGGTCATCAATGCACCAATAATCGACGGTGCTGAATTTAAATATGTAAATTCCAGCTCTTACAAATTAAAAACACCAGCTTGGCTATCATGCGACAGACAATACTTTCAGTAGCAAGGTTAGGAGGGAAAGTGATTCCCTCTACCCTGTGGATCGGCTGTCACTTGAAGGGACCTCAGCGGTAACTCTGTGATGTCCGCTTCAACGGTCCATTCTCTGACACGAATGGTCGCGCTGCTCTGCGACAGTTCCAATTGTATTCTTCATCTTACGACACAGAGTCCACGGCAGTCCGGATACAACTTTGGACAAAGGAAACTGACAACCAAGAACCCACGTTGGGGATGCGCGTCTTCCGGGTGCCACGCCGCGTGTCGCCCACGGCGATCGTGACTCGGGGCGGCACCTGCCGCGTGAGTTGCCCATCGCCACCGCCACGCCACTCACCGCCACGCCGCTCACCATGTTCTCGACGGTGCGCAGGTATTTGGCGCAGCGTGTGTGCCCATTGTGTTCTGCCAAGTCGGCAGCCGAGCAGCCGTCGTTGTCGCGCACGCGCAGATCCACGCCGTTCACCACCAGGATCTGGCAGCACTGCAACGGCAAACATCCCCCCCGTTATAGCCTACACCAGGGGTCGGCAGCCAAAATAAAGGGCCGTCCATAAATGACGTCACGCACCTGGGGGGGGGGTCAGACATTTGTGACGATGTGTGACGATGGGAGGGCGGGGGGTTTGAGAAATGTGACATCACATGAAAATGCGTAACTTTAAATAAATATAGACAACACGTTCTACTTAATTAATTTTACTTTTTGATGTTTTCTCCTACAACATCAGAGTGCAGCGCCACATTACATACGCACTACAATGACAATAGTTTAAAGCGATTTGAAGCATGTTAAAAAAAAATTGGGGGTGGCAGAGCTTTGTGATGTCGCGTGACAAAGGGAGGGGGGGTCAAAAATCGTACAAAATCGCGTGACGTCATTTATGGACGGCCCCTAACATAGAACCGTCAGTTTTTTTGTTCGAATTCGGTAACAAAAAAACAACTTCAATATTTCAAGAGCCGCAATACGCTGAGGTTGGTGAATCCGAGACGGTGGTGGCCTTCAATAAACGTCGTCGTGAAGCAGCCCCCCATCAAGAGCCGCACGCAGCTCTGACTCTGGGCCCACACAGACTGCCGGGGCGAGTCGCTGTTAGACAGCAGCTACAAAGTCCGGTGCAGCAAGCGACAGGAGTGGGTGGCCAGCACCACGCCCCGGCCACCTTTGTCTCCCCAGTGCTGGTCTTTACACATCGCACCGCGCACTCACTTCAGGCGGATTCAACCGAGGCAGAGGCCCAGGACCAGTTCTGATACTCGTTATTGGTGTTGGCCATGAGCGGAAATTTTTTACTTGGGTCGCTGGGTTCGTAGCGCAGTGCGGTAACCGCTACACTACCGCTCCCCATTGGCAGCGCCGCACAAACAACAACAACCGCCATTCGCCACTAAGTGGCGGTAACGTCACCACGGCGCTTGCGCCAGGCCATGTGCACTTCAAGGTCACGGGACACACGTAGGTGCCACGGGTTGACCGAGTGAGATAACAGCCGAGATGCACCACTTGTGCCCCCTACAGTGCCAAGTTGTTTTAGCCACCTGGCGCACTGCTCATTGCTGCACGAACACACACAAAGACACACAAAGACAAAGATCCCTTGTATAGCCTTAACAGAACGTAGGGGAAAGTGCTGAAGCGAGCACCTATGAAGGCCGGAACGGTACACGAGGGGGTGGGTGGCCAGTACCACACCCGACCGCCTTTGTCTCCGTCTCCCTAGTGGCGATGTTTACACACCGCACAAGGTGCTCATTTGAGGCTGAGTCGACTTAGAGGAGACCCGGGACCAGTTCAGATAATCGTCACTGGTGTTGGCCGTGAGCGGGAATCGAACCCGTGTCGCCGGGTTCTTAGCCCAGCGTGCTAACCGCTACACTACCGCTCCCCACAACTGTTCACCCTGGGTGAATCTCACTGCGTGAAGGCTCTTTTCAGGAGAGTCTTGCTAAGTTTTTGACAGTAGGGGGCGACAGGCGACTATGTGTTTGCCAATCAAGTAAAATCGCGAGTAATGTTTCACATTTGGCAAATTTTGAAGCTCGCAATAGAACGTGTCAGTAGAGAGCTTATAGATGTCATTCGTAAGAGGAGGTTGCGATAGGTGAGAGGACACGTGCAGGGTGGAGGAGGATAGGGTGAGCAACTTGGAAGTTCGGAATGGAATGTGGAAGTTAATCGTTACGGGAGAAATCAGTGAGCGCGGGTCATGATGGGTGAGACACGTGTGCAGGGAGCAGGAGGGCAAGTTACTGAGACGGGCTTCAGCGGCACTCAGAGGATGATGACCGAACACGCATGTGAATAGATGTTGAACTTCTTTTGCACCGTAAGCAGCCAACCGTGCGAAGCGGAGGTGCGGGGGAAGGAAAACAAGCGAAAACACAAAGCGCAGTTCTAATGAAATTCGTTTTCAATCTAGATTCAAAAGTGCAAAGCTCCAGTGGCTTCCGAAAAGCGTTCCAGACGGCCGCAGAAGCGCGTCTGACAGAGCGCGATGCGGTAACCATCGTTGCGCGACGGCCAAAATCCGCCGCTGCCGCGAGGACGACTGGCGTTGGCGTGATGGTGGTTCACGCTCCTTGACGAGCCACGAAACCAGACGCAACGTCCTCGACGGTAGCGTCCTCGGCCGCCGCTACCTGCAGGTGACCGTTCTCGGCGGCGTCGTGCAGCGGCGTGCCGCCCCAGGCGTCGCGCGTGGGCTCCCCGCCGTGCAGCAGCAGCCAGCTCAGCACCGTGCCGTGGCCCCGGCTCGCCGCGAAGTGCATGGCCGTGGCGCCGTCGGCGTCTGTGTCGCTTAGGCGCAGCGCCGTGGAGCTCACCTGCGGCGGGGAGGCGGTTGCGGAGAGGTTCGGAGAGGAGGGCGGACGCAGCGCGGGGGGGGAGGGCGCGGAAAGATTTCACGATTTTATGGGAAGTACGATTTGGCTGCGATGGAGAAGATGGCGCAATGCTGTTGAGGTTAGGAGGCGGTCACAACCGATGCTGTTGCTGCCAACGCACCCTGACATCGCTTCCTTGCTCTTTTATGAGTCTTGCAGCTGTGGAAAAATCTGCACAATGCACCTTGCGGTCACCCATCTCAAACCACGGGCCACGTGGCGATGCCACTGCCCGCTTCGATCAGTGGCTCACTCGCCAACCTCGCCGTGAACGCACGTGGGCGCCGGCGGTCAAACCCCCACCATGAGATTACGAGACTTGCTCGTAATCTCATCTTTTGGCTTTCCCTCCTTGTAACAGTCAACACGCATCCTTCAAGGATCACCTGAGCATTCTCATCACAGCCACCACATGACCTTTTGGTATTTTTATCGCTTCGGGTGACATCTTTCAAGTACCCCTCTCCGAGGGTGTCACTGCAATTCTTGTCTTGGTCACCTGCCCTCCCCCCCCTCATCGTAACTGCTACTTTCTGATGACATCTACATCTGAATTCCCACGTTGCTTACCCTATCCTGCCCAAGCCCATATACTCGTCTTAACAGTGACCACGATGTATTCAACTTGCGTACGTTCCATAGTCAATACCTCGCAATGTTATTCGAAGCATGGACGTTCCTTTTGGACAATTTTCAGTTTTGCTTTCCCATTTTCATTTTCAAGAACCCATTAAAATGTAAACAGACCAGCCTGCCATTGTGTGGGTGCAAGTGTCAGGGCCCAACCTACCCGGCCCACCCTGACAGGGCCAACCGTGTCAGGGACCACACTGTCAGGGCCCACCCTACCAGGCCCACCAAACTAAGGCCCACCCTACCCAGTCCACTCTACCAAGGTCCACCCTGTCAGGGCCCACCCTACCCAGGCCCACCCTACCCAGAGACACCCTACTGGGCCAACCCAACTAGGGCCCACCCTGTCAGAGCCCACCCTACCCAGAGACACCCTACTGGGCCACCCCAACTCGGGCCCACTCTACCGGCCTCACCACCCTGTCAGGGCCCACCCGAGCGGGGCCCACCCTACCCAAGACCTCTCGCGTGCATCTCTCGCGTCTCGGCGGCGTCCCTCTCCTCGCTCTGCCCCACGCCCCACGCCGGGCAGCGCCGCACCAGCCACACGATGACCGTAGCGTGTCCCATCTGCGCGGCGGCGTGCATGGCCGTCATGCCGTCGCTGGCCCGCGCGCTCGTCTCGGCGCCACACTCCGTCGCCAGGTACTGCAGACAGTCGAGGTGGCCCTCCTGGCATGCCAGGTAGAGCGGCGTCGCTCCCGCACCCGTGCGGCTGTTCAGTGTCCTGCGTGTGGGTGTGTGCGTGTGTGCGGGTGCGCATGTGGGTGTGTGTGCGCGTGTGGGTGTGTGTGTGCGCGTGTGCGTGTGGATGTGTGCGTGTGGGTGTGTGTGTGTGCGGGTGTGTATGTGCATGTGTGTGCGTGTGTGGGTGTGTGTGTGCGCGTGTGTGCGCGTGCGAATGTGTGCGTGTGGGTGTGTGTGTGTGCGGGTGTGTATGTGTGCGTGTGTGTGCGTGTGCACAAAGGTGCGGTTACATTTAAAATATATATGTTTACTGTTACCATGACAAACGAGGTGGCTGGATGGCTCGGAGGTCAGAGGGCTGAGCCAGACGATGGAAGGTGGTCAAGAGTAAGAGTGGCAAGCCAAGGAATTGAAAGTGTCCAAATGGAACATCCACCAAGGAAGTGGAGTTGTGAGATCAGCTCCTTAGCAGGTGCTGGGTGGATTGTTGTCATCAGAGGATCGTGAGAGGTGGCGGTGGCTCAGGAAGGCCTTCATCCAGCGGTGGATTGATTACGGCTGATGATGACGATGACAATGATGATATTAATTGAGAATCGGCAATTTTTACGTGCACAATTCCACCATGTACTGTATTGTGAACATAAAGAGTCCAATCGAATCAACAATTCCACGCATCGCTACGTGCCGGGTACACGGAGGAGCGCTCCTCAGCGGCGTGGGAAGTTTGTCCGCGCAGCTGCTGCAGACACTAGATTACAACGGGGAAATCATGTGTCGATCAACGTGGCACTTTGCAGGAACGCATCTACCGCGTTATGCGAGGACTCCTTGTACCGTGCTGTACACAGAGAATAGGAAATCATGCAGTGGCGTGACTTTACCAACAGATGGCAACTTTGCTCGCTCTGTCCTGGCCAAGCGGCAGCAGCAGCAACGCAAATGCCAACCCGGCACTAGAGCACGAATTGAACGTGGAAATACATCCGAGGCATTCACGATGTTAAATCAACGCAAAAGCCGCCGGAAAGTTTGACCAAGCAATTTGTGTTCCACAGTGCGACAGAATAGTTACTGATAAAAAAATAAAATATATTTTAAAATAAATTCGATGATACAAGACAGCCCAGAACGCGCCCAGTTCTCATTTGACCCAGACAGCTAAGCAGGCGTGAACCTGGCGAGCAACGGCGGAGCCAGGATTTTCAGGTAGAGGGGGCAACCCCTCCAGTAATGAAAAATTATAGAGGAGTTGTTAGTAAGTAAGGAGTTGTTAGTAAGTAAGGACTTGTTCCCTTGCTTTTTATTCGATGCGTGTGCGGCGATGGCGCAGCCATCGATCGAAGGTCGAATTCGAACCGCCGTTGTGTGATCGGCCTTCAGGGAAGTCGTGGACTCTGTATACGCAACTGCGCACAATTCTGTGAGTCACTTATAACCGCTTTGCCGTTACTTATTGCCAATTATGGACTCAGACTATTGTCCTATCATCTCAAAGTCCCTGGCACGTAATAATATGCTACACAGTGGCAGTGGAGGTCGCAAAGTGACGATTTATTACTAATAACCCCCAATGATCTGATCGAAATTAGAGATTTCGATCGGATCATTGCGGGGGGGGGGGGGGGGCATGTTCCACCCCACCCCCCCACTGGCTCCGGCAGTGCTGGCGAGTGCTTGGACGGGTTGGCACCAGTGAACAAACCGGTCGCAACGCTGCTGCTGCGGTTGCTCCAAGGTGGGCAGCAGAGGCCAGTGCAGCAAACACTAACTGCAGTACTGGACTGCACTTCTACGCTGCCACATCGATGACCCCTGCCTTAGGCAAGTCAAGCTGACCAGCGGCGGCGCAGTACGGTCGGGTAGCCCCGCACGACCCACACGGCTTGGGCAGGGGTCCTCACTCAGCCCCTCATCCAGCAGTGGAGCGGACCGCACCGTGCATAGGGAGACGCCGCGGCAGAAGGGCCGTCATAACCCCGTTGACGAGAACCACCGCGGCCAGGAACCCTTTGACGGGGCGTCTCGTAACGGGAAGACCCGTGGAAACACTCTCACATCACTCGGCCTATTTATACCCGCCACTATCCTGCTCAATAATTCAGAGTTCCGCAAAAGGGGGCTCTCGCATTTCTGTTCTATCTCTCGCTGGGGGCTGGCGAGTGGCGTGTCCGCAAAACCGCGCGTCGCGGCGGGCAATCTGTGCTGCGTCGTCGGTGGTGGCTTTGGCCCAGTTGGTTCCAGCCACCCGAAATCTCATGGCGGAGAGGGGGCAACGCTCTATCCCCCCCCGCCTCGCCCGATATGTGTTGAGATCCAGCTTGGCACTTCGATCCCAGCGCCTGGAGCTCTTCCACAGCCACCTCCCGATTGTGTGCATGGACACGCGCAGCCCGATTGGGTAATCCACTGCTGGATGAAGCTCTCCCCATGCCGTGCGGATGGACACGCGCAGCCCGATTGGGTAATCCACTGCTGGATGAAGCTCTCCCCATGCCGTGCGGATCACGCGAGATATTCAACTACGCTTCACCGTGCTCGTCAGTATGGGTTGGTGAAGGTGGGGAGAGAGCATGGGAGCATAGAAGTGCAGTACAAGCATCGATATTGCTTCACTGTCCTGTGTTGCCCACAACACAGCCCCACGCTCCATAACAAGCTGTCACGGTTGGTGTGCACCCATTCAAATAACTATCACAATCAGAATATTTATTCATACAGGAGGAATCCGATGAGCTATAAAGCTCTTTGTCTCTAGGCTGCGACAAGTCGTAGGCTGTGGGAACACACACAATTGTTGAGAAGCAAGTGCGCAAAAATGAATGTCAAATAAAATAACCGTGAAAGTGCAGCGATGACAAATCATGAGAGACCTTCCCAACGCACTCCACGGCTTGCTATTCAGCGTCTAAAGCGACAAAGCGTCACAGAACAAACAAGACAACCCTGCGCTCGCAAGAGGCACTCACTCACACTCACTCGCTCTGACTCACACTCGCTCTCACGCTCACTCGTTCTCACGCTCACTCACACTCACGCTCACTCGCTCTCACGCTCACTCACCCACACTCGCTCTCACACTCACTCACCCACACTCGCTCTCACGCTCACTCGCTCTCACGCTCTCACGCTCGTGGGCGGGCCACGGTAATCGCCGCAGCCAGGCAGGTGACGCTGCCCGCCCAGTCATGGGCCGCTCATTAAAGTTTGATGCGCGCTGGCACAAGCCGTCACTGCGCTCTGCCTTTGTCTATGCACGTCCCCCCCGGCTCTCCCGTCGCCACGCCAACGTCCGGTACACCCCCCCACCTACCCGCGCCCCCCCCTGCCCCCTCATTAGCAGAAAGTGACACGGGCTCGTTGAAATGTCCGATAAATTGCCAAGTTAGCAAACAAACAAACAAGGACGTTACAAAACTATGTTGCTGAAGGACAGCCAGCGTGGGCTGGCGAGGTTGTTTGGGGTGAAGGATTCCGGCTGGGGCGGTGTAGAGGCGAGGCACGGGAGGGTTGCGCCCGACTGTACTGCACAGATTCACTACGACAGGGCGCGCCGCTCGCAGCGGAGAGAAAGAGAGCGGAGAAAGTTCTGAGAGTTTTTTTTTAATGAGCTCCTTTAAGTTGTTACGGTAGTTGCGATGTCAGGCCAGGCCATGAATCTCACTGGGATTGAATTGAGCAGGGTCGGTTCAGAAATCATTGTCATCTCAAGCACCATAAGAACATCATTATCATCATCACCACCACCTCCACTACTGCCAATACCACCAAAACCACTACCACCACCAACACCACCATCATTAACAGCCCCAGCACCACAATTATCACCATAGTAATGTCACCCTTTGTCAACCCACTGTTGGAAGAAGAAGGCCTCCGACTCTGTGCCAGTCACTGCAGCTGACCGTACTTGACCACACAGGGTCAGTGCGGGTTCCTCAAGGAAAGGGGGGGGGGGGTGTCTAGACCCAGTTCCGACTTCCCTTGCCACTGACGCTAACCGTGGCCAGGTTCTTGGCGCAGTGCGCTAACCACTGCATCACCGCTCCATCCATCATCAGCATTACCCATCTCTAGTTTCGGCATACGTGCCAAAGCAGTTGAAGCAACAGACGAACCTTTGCGCAGCATACTTACGCTCCCAAAAACAAATATTTATTCCACCTGATTTATATTACAACATTATAACAAATTAACATGTCGCTGTTTGGTTAATCTTTTGTCCAAGTTCATAGGAAGGGCAATCCCACGTTAACAGGTCGCACATCTGCAACACAAAACCAGCCAATGTCACTCGAGGAGCGTTGGCTGCGTGCGTTGTATTTGATCAGCTGACTGAGTGGACAGCAAGGTTAAAAGGTGAGCTGTCTGCTCCTTGAGATGTGAAGGGACACTTCCTTGCCACGCATGGAATGCGTTAATGTTTGATCGGACAATTACGATACAATTCGGAGTTACAGAGTAAGTAAATTTAACTACACCGGAAGTTGCTGTACACATCAGAGGGGACGTGGATCACGGGCGAAACGGAGGTGCATATATGCTAAATACATATTGTTAATAAATGTGACAGACAGTCATATATCAGAGGAGAATAGGAAGGTCTTGAGCCTGGACGTGAAAAATATAAAAGTGCATGGAGGGGAGTAGAGTAAGATGAGAGGGGAGAGTTAGGCAGGGGGCGAGTCAATGGAGGATCTTGAAGACAGTGAAGGTGATCCGATAGTTGATCTAGGATTTCATTGGGATCCATCGGAGGTACAGGAGATGTGCGGTCACGTGGCCCCGTGCACGGTGCGACGTGACGAGTGAGAGTTGCCCGCGGTGGCACCGTGGCTACGACGTGCACACCCGCCAGCGCTGTGACGGTAATCACCGACAATTGGTGCTTCAGTAATTACACACAAGGAGACCCCTCTCTCCCTCGTGCTCGTTAAAACGCAGACCTAGAAAATACGCGCAATGGAGTGAGAAACAAAACGAGTAAATTCCACCAAACAGACCGAGGACAAACATGGGGAGAGACAAAGACAAGCGGCG